CAGCGCCTCGACTTCCGCACGGAAAATGGTGTCGCGAACGAACTTGTACAAATCAGGGATGGCGACGGGATCTTGGTTAGGAACAGAAGCGTTCTTTGGGCAGAGTCGTTGACTGAAGTTGGAAGAGAATCTATCCATCACAAGCCTCAGATTCTCCCCGTTCAAGAAGGCGATGAAGTCTTTTCGTTGATGTTCCATGATTCTTCGAGATGCGTCCGGATGAGAAGTTGTGAGTCCTGCTTCGTCACGTGTCTCGAATGCCGAGATGTGATCGTGGTCGAACACATGATAGTCCACCGCTTCCAAGCCGAAGAATATTGTCAAGGCATCGAAGATCCCAGGTACTGGGACGAGGTCTCGAGGCCCCTTGAAGAGTGACCGCACGCCTTCACCGGGAAGGACATAGCAAAGCGAACTTGCAGGTACTGAGAGGGATATAACGGTATCATGTAGGCGAGACCTAAGGCTGGTATCAGCAAGCATAAATCTGAGGTGGATTTCCATCATGTCACATACTGTAGAGGCCGAAGGAATTTCTCGGCGTTGAAGAGAATCGCATAGGCGTGGCCAAGTCCGGGAACAAGGTATGGAGGTATGACAAGCCGCCTATTTCCTAGCTTCTCGTAACGTTGATTCTTCCAGAGAAACCGGATAGAGGTGAGAAGATAAGTGAGAAGGAAGGGAGTGCTCAAGATCAAAACAGAGCATGCGGCCTTGGCGAGGGCATCTCGTCCCGCGCCGCTCAAACAAGCTTCTCCGAGCACTAAGGTAAACATGATGAGAGCCTTGATGAGTGTCAAACCAAAATTTCTACGTCATTCAGAAAGAGGAAAGAGAACATCCATGATCCAGAGGATCTTTGGTTTTTCTTATAAGATTATTCAATGTCTCAAAGAGCTAGAGACCCATTATCACATGGAAGTTTCGACATATCAAATAACAGCTGGTAATCGCGCGAGTAGACATCTATTTACATGATCGCGGAAGGTTTCAGAGTGTCATTGGGGGCTAGTATTACCCGCTGCCTTGATTTTGGCCCCTCGTCACGCAGCTCGTGTTGGTTGTGAACATGAAGACTTGGCTGAAAGGATTGTGGCAGAATAATTACCCTTGCCGCGGGTGATACCTTCTTTTGGCAACTCTTCAGCAAACAATGTCCATCTTTACGGCGCGGCCGCCGCAGTAAGACATATATCACTTATCATGGCGCTTCTCCGACTCCAAGGTGGCTTGCGGCCCGGATTGCATGCTTCTCGGTACTCGGTGGATCCGTGTATTTCGTTTGTTCGAGGGAATGATCATATCAATCCAAGCCGGAGATCCCTCAACTTGACTTGTCTTCCAGGATATCATGGATCGCCATTGGACGCCCGGTTTGTTTGCTTGGTTGGGTAGCTTTGGTGAAGGCAACGTCAAGCGCTGAGCCGCCGCACCGCCGAGTCTACCGCCGGCATTCAATGGAGACGGACGGTGACTTGACTTGCATGTGTACTCGGAAAAGAGCATACACAGTTACCACTTGAGACGTGGCGAGCTTTCGACTACGGCACCAACCCCAACGCTGAGCCTCCGAGTTTTGGAGGTCGGGATTCTGCACACAGCTTCGGAGATGGCCCCCAGGGATGGTAGGGCAATATGTGGGACTCCGTTGTGACGCCGCATGGGATTGGGCTCAACTTTTGTTTGCTCAATGTCGTTGGAAGCGGCAACATGGTCGTTCAGGATGCGATGGGTTTGATTGGACCAGCAGGTTGGCTTCGCCGCAGGTGAGGAAGAATCCATGCTCCCACGGGATGGATGCACTGTGACACTCTCATGCAGGCAGTCACTTGGCTGGATTCAGCCCGCCACGGTCCACAGGTGACAATAGGTATTAGCAGGCGCCACTCCCGCGGCACCCTCTATATTTGACAGATATCTTCGAGCAGACAGGAGGGTTACACATAATTCCTTCTGGACGGGTGGCTTGATGTGACGATTTGGGACTTTGCAGCCATGTTGCCAACCTTGCTGTTTGCCTTTGTGTATGCGGTATCCATCACAGATTCGTCAACTTAGTAGGTAAGATAAGGTAGTAGGACAATCCCAGGTTATTGGATCGAACACAGGTCACTTGTACAACATGTTGCGACCAGGACCGTTGTGGGGGTATTGTTGAAGAGGATGGGCATTCACAGAGCTCGCAAGGGAGTAATTAGTTTAAAGGCTAGCGGTCTGATGTTGGCGGATTGGAATTATTCCCTCTCCGCACAGTTTGGACTTGTGCCCAAACTACTCCAGGGCCCCGCCCGTCCACGAACAGACTTGGCCTAGCTAAGAGATAGAACAATAGAAACAATGTGGGAAAAGTTCGGAACCCTCAGAAAGGCAATCTTTTTCTGCAGTATTCCAAGGCTCATTGAGTTGATGATACAAAGGTATCTCGGGTAGACCTTGGGTAGGGAACTCATCGGCCATTGAACACCAAGCAGGACGATCTGTGTCCTCGCCAGTGTCGGACCGGATGACGGCGTGAACTTGACACTCTGGACAAGATTCTATCAATTTTCTCCCTGAACGTATCCTTCGAAGACTGCGGATCTGGTCCCCGATAGCACGAACAGCATGTAGAAGCCTCTAGGATTATGCCCCGAGGACTTCAAGATCGTTTGCTTGCGCAAGATTCCCGGAAACCAACCTGGACCGGGCTAATGGACGCACTGTTTGCACAGTTTGCTTGAAACCGACATCCATGCCCTGCAGGATCTCGATGCCGTGTTAGATTCGTTCCGTACCGTGAGGGCCGCAAGCTCGGGGCAACGCGGGTTTCCGTTTCCTCGGGCCATGGTCAGTATAAATGGAAATTACCCCGCAAGGGCCGGGCGGTCCGTGAACGCCGACAGGATAGTTAGTGTACTTAGCACAGAGATCTTGTAGTTGGGGTAATTGTTAGGCATTCCCCGCGTTGTCTCTACTCATACGTAACACAACACAGAAGCTTGGTGGTTCACTCCAGTGCCGGCGGGAAACATCCTCTGTGCGTCGATGGAGTGCCGAGGTCCTGATGACAGTATACTATCAGCCCCGCCTACTGTTGGGCATGCTGAGATAGTAAATCTAACAACACACAACCTAACCGTCGACTGCCTGCAAGTTGTCAATCAGAGCCAAATTCCAGGTGTTCAACCCGTAGCTTGCATAAGCATGTCTTCTCAATCTCGAGAAGCCCCGTGGAAGGCCATTGCACGACGTAAACAGGCTGAGAGAGCAGCGCGCATCTCATCAAAATGGCACATCCCAATCAAGGCCATCCCGAATGACCCCCCTCAACCAGGTGACGGGCCACAGAGAGTTCTTGACATGCCGCGCCAATTCTTGTCTCAATCAGAAATCTCAATTACCGAAACTTACACGATTCCAACTCTGCTCAAGGCCATAGGGACGCGCAAACTCTCAGCTAGACAAGTGACCGAGGCCTTCTGCCACCGAAGTGCCATAGCGCAGCAACTCACAAACTGTTTGACGGAACCATTATTCGAGACCGCCTTGAACCGGGCTCAGTTTCTCGATGACTACCTCCGCGAACACGGCGCCCCCCTCGGCTCCCTCCACGGCCTCCCCATCTCCGTAAAAGACACATTCAGCGTCGCAGGCGTCGACACCTCAATGGGGCTGGCATATCTGTGCCACAAGCCCGCAGCCTCCAATGCGCCGCTGGTTGATCTCCTGCTCTCTTTGGGGTGCGTCATCATCGCCAAGACCAACATCCCGCAAACTCTCGGAAGTCTGGATTCCGTCAACAACGTTTTTGGCCGGACCATGAATCCTATCAACCGACTGTGCACCGCTGGCGGATCCTCTGGCGGCGAGGGCGTCCTCGTGGCCATGAAGGGTTCCATGATTGGAATCGGAACCGATATTGGTGGCAGCATCCGCGTGCCTGCTATGTGTAACGGTGTCTATGGCTTCAAGCCCTCCAATGGCCGCGTTCCGTACGGCGGACAAGTTCTTACTGGCATTGACGGTATGAGCCGCACTTCCGTGCAAGCTGTTGCAGGCCCTATTGGCCGTAGTGTTGAGGACATAGATGCTCTCCTGCGTGAGATCGTCCCTCGGGCAGCTTTATGGGGCGAGGATTGCATGCCCGCATCATGGCCCTCCAGCTTGAGAGTGTCGTCGATCTCGGGCTGCGGCAAGAACGGGGAGTTGGTTATCGGCGTTCTTCGCACGGATGGAAATTGCAGCATTCATCCACCTCTTGATCATATGCTGGACGAGGTCTCTTCAGCTCTTTCGCACACACGCGGCGTGAAGGTTGTTGAGCTGTCATGCCCCGCGGCACTCACCAAGGCACAGTCAGTCATGAACAAGCTCATGGGCGTCGACGGCTCCGTCACCATGGCCGAGATGATTGAAGCAACAGGCGAGCCCCTAGTACCTTGGACAGCAGCACGATTCAAGAAGGGGAAGCCGCTGCCACTTACGCAAGTTGCTCAGCTTCAGGCACAACGAGCAACGTTGGAGCGGGAGATGCTCAAGATGTGGGTCGAGAACGATGAACACGGTCGCAGGCGAGAGAAGCTGGATGCTGTGATATGTCCGGTTGCGCCGCACCCTGTGCCGCCCATCGAAGCATACAATGCTGTCGGTTTGACTAGCAGTTGGGTGATGCTTGACTATCCTGCAGGAACAGTACCAGTGCGAGACGTGAGGGAGAGTGATCTGCAGCTTGGTCGGCCACAAGGTGGAAAGATCCTGAGTAGCTGGGACGAGAGGAACAGAGAGCTATGGGACGAGAAGAAGATTGACCGAAAGATCTACCTAGGGACGCCGCTGAGTGTTCAGGTCGTTGTACCAAGGTTGCGGGATGATCGACTGGTTCAGGTCATGGCTAGCGTAGATGCAGCTTGCAAGGGCACAAGTGTGAACGCAAAGCTCTGAGTTGAATTGCTTTCGTAGTAAACAGATCAACCAGCCTTGGTTCGAATTGCAAATTGGTCTAATACGTGTTGCATGATACTTCAGGGCAATCTACCATCAAAAGGTATGTAAGGTTCTACAAAGGAAGCCATAGCGCTGGCTCCAGTGCCCAGATCAAACTCATTCATCACGGCGTCCCAGTCTTGAGGAGCCATGATGTGATCGTACGGAGGTACTGCGAAATTGACCTCCGGTAGAGAAGGAATATCCCCAAGTTCCCGTTGTCCATACACCTGCTCTGTATGCGGTGGCCTCTTGCTTATCAAGGATCTTCGCTTGGCAGCAAAGCTAGCGAGCTCATAGAACGTCTTACACACATCGTACAGCTTCTTGGCTGAAGGCGAGCTGATTGATGTGGGTTCAATGGCAGAGACTGCGCTGCAGAGGAGTGTTAGGTCCTCTTCGGACGCCGTTGCCACGGTGTGTCCCGCGAGCACTACAAAGCTGGCAAAGGGTACTAGAGAGAACATCCTAATGAAATGTTATTAAATATGCATCAAGAATCACAGCAGCGTCATGTGTGAGCATACATGTTGAGGAGCATTGTCCATCCAGTGATTCTGAGATGGCCCCAGGATTCGAATGCCCTCACAATTGTACGAAGGGCACTTCGAGCAGCCTCCGTGCATTCGTTGCTGCATTTCAGTGGACTATCGCTTGCTTCATCGCATGGGATGACACGATAAGCTATCGTGACAAGACCGTACATCATGAAGTCGAGCAGCACGGCAAGCGCCTTATAGAGATCGTCGTCGGGAGGGTTATGTCCGATAGACTGCGGAATTCAGAAAAGTCCTTTCAAACAGCATGATCACCCAAACCCACCTGTTTGTTACGCGTGTTGACTTCAAGCAATTTGGAAATCACCGACTTGGCATTCTGGCTTCGTGTCTCTAGTGGCTGTCGAAGCGCTGAAGCAGAAAATAGCTCAACGTGCATATCGCCAACAATAAACGCGTACTCGACGAATCCAGAATAAAGACTGAAGGTGCCGTCAGCATACCAGTTCCGGGGAAAGGCAAGAAGGGATGCTTTACTGTACTGGCACACCCGGAACGCAGTCTTTGGGAATGGACGGCCGCTCAGTGGAGACATCATAGGGATGAATCGACGGTGTCCTGCCCATTGTAAAAGCCATGCTTTTGTCGTGGACATAAACATGCCAAAACACTTGTCGCCTTTTTGAGAACTCTGGCTCATTGCTAGGTAGTCTATGCCAACCGAGGTCGATGCACATCCTCGACGCGGCCGATATGAGCTGCCATGCAAGTGTACTTTGGCCTACTTTGTTACAAAACGTGTACTTTTTCGTCAGTACTGGGAATTGAGCTTCGGCGGCAATCACTTGAGACTTACCAGGACTGCTAGAGCTTGGCATGCTTGTGTAGAAGGGTCGCTGCAAAGTCTCAAAGACTGTATCGCAGCTTCAAGGTTGGCTTTGAGGAGTTGAGAGTACGCCTCGATGTCTGACTCGTTGATGTCGATCAGGGGATAATGATGGCGTTTGAGTCCTTGGAGCAAGAAAAACAAACCGGCGTTGACAATGATCCAATCCACAGTAGAAAAGTCGGTGATAGCAAAGCAAACTTTTTGGCAATACTCACCAAACTCTTGTTCGTCAATCACGGGGACGTCGATGAAAAACCGCTGCTTTTCAGTCTGACACAGTCGAACGAGCTTCAGAACGCGCTCAGTCGACGGAAGGCTTCTGCCCTCCAACTCGGGATGCTGGGCTTGCGCGGTCAATGGAGAGTTGCTGATGTGAGCGGGACTACTCTCTTCACTGCCCGTAGCCTGGTTGATCCTTTGCACGGTCGCAGAGAGCGCCGAATCGTCGCCCAAGGTCGACTCTAGGTCTGCAGCTGCATCCTTGAGTGCATCCGTGACCCGGTGAACATGCGCTTTAAATGAAGATTCGCCTCTGTATCCCTCAGAAAGGTCTGGAATGTTGGGGGAGTGATTGCCGATGAAGGATGTTGGGGAGACGAGTGGTGATGAGTTCGACTTTAACTTGTTGATTTCGAGTAGCTGCTGCACCGCCTGCGACACTTCCTTCAGCGAGCGGTCAACACTTTCAATGGCCTCATCATAGCGGGGCGAGATGAGGACGCGCTGTCGTCTCTCGGATGAGCGATGCGTCAGGCGACATATGAGTTTTGAGGCCACACAACTTGAGCATGGCGTTTCGCGGTCGCATTTCGTCTATCCGTTCTCGTCAAAACCCATTGTGCGATGTTTTCATGCTGTGATGACATTGGGGACTGAGTTCTTACCTTTCTGTCTTTACAATTATCACACTGGCCATGGCGTGTTTAGTATGTCTATGGGTAACGGTCATTGTCTTGAGTGACGCGAACTCACCGCAGGCCTTTTGCTGCTGACTCCGGAAGCCTCCATTCGAGGCAGTCAACAATTTCTACGTGAGGGCAGACTCTTCCACGGTCGACAGGGAAATAGACTGAGAAAGAAAATCGAAAGTCAATTAGACTCGATAAATGGGAAGGTGCTACAAGTAGCGACTTTTCTTCTTTTGTTCTTCCCTGGTCTCAAAGGCCATGAGTACTTGGCGGGCATGGCGGGGTGGCATAATTAGGAGGCGCCAGTTAGGCAGTCAGTGACTAATCTTTGAGAAAGGTGCACGCAGTAGGTGGTAAGATATCGTACTGGGATGCTTGCAGAATCCTATCGACCAAGACTCTCATCCTCTTCGGTCTCCATTCCGGACATCTCTTGTGTAGGTACTTCCAGACTCGAGCTCTTTGCAGACAGCCCATATCCAAAGAGTCTTACCCTGTGCTCGGCAGGCTGGCGACGCAAAGCTTCCTGACATTAGGCAGCTATCATTGTCGCTGCGTCCTATTCGCACACTCTGTCAGCGCTAGGCGTAGTAGCCCTGAATTCCAACCATCCCCGGGCCCGAGGCCCCGGAAGATTCAAGCTCCCATTTGGGTCAGGATGTGCCACTGCCACACAATTGCGCATCAAAACGTGTGGCTATAGCCCTCAAATGGGCATGGTTGTCTTTCGGCAACGGCCGGCAGACACCGCTGACTTCTTGTATTAATGATAGTTACTAGTTCGGGCCACTCCATTAATCAGGCTCTAATCTCACTCCGACGACCAACATGCTGTTTCGGGGCCTTCTCACCTTCACAGGGCCCGAGGGCCCGGGATTGTAGCGATCTCAGCTCAACATGCGTTCATCAAAGACAGCGAAAGTGCCTTGGGGGACAGTTATATTTAAGAAGGCGAGCAGTCTCCATAATATGATCATAAACCGCCGAGCTTGACAGCAAAAACTAGGTACCATTGACTACATTCACATCTCTTCAACAATAATCTTTAATTGTTCTCATACCATATCTGCCATGATTTACAATCTCTGGAAACATTGTTACCTTATCGGGTCGTTGGCTCTCTTGGAGGCTTTAGCAGCTAACATAAGCATGACGGAAACTTTTGTTGGGGGCACTCCGCCTGTAAGCACCCTCCAAGTCACTGTTGGTAATCTCACTAATACTTGTAGTGTGACGCGCTCCTCGCCGCCGGCTTAGGTGATAGGGTTTTATCGCCAACCGATTCAGGGTACGAGAAACAGGTGCAAACCTGGTGGGCTCGGAATGCCCAGCTTCATCCATGGTGTATTGTGCTACCCGAGAGTACTGAAGAAGTTTCCCTCACTTTGACTACACTCCTAAAAGCTGGCAATGGCGCTGGAGACTGGCACATTGCAGTCCGGAGTGGGGGGCATGGCTTTCAGTTGAACAACAACATTCAGAATGGAGTCACTATCGATTTGAGCATGCTCAATTACTCCCGTTATGATGCCGAAACGAATACCGCGACGCTCGGTTCGGGAGGGCGATGGGAGAATGTTTACGCTAGTCTGGGCGATCAAGGCGTTGTCGTGGTCGGTGGCCGCGATGGTGACGTTGGAGTGGGAGGCTTCCTTCTCGGCGGCGGCACATCCTATTTCTCGCCCAAGTATGGATTCGCCTGTGACTCTGTCCTCAACTACGAGGTCGTGCTCACCAACGGAAGCGTCGTCAATGCGAACAAGACCAGCAACTCTGATTTATGGAAGGCGCTCAAGGGTGGCGGCTCCAACTTTGGCATCGTCACAAGGTTTGACCTGGAAGCCCTTCCTGCTCGTGATATCCACTACGAGGTCCGAATACTGCCCGCAACCGCTTCTGACGTGGTCTCCGATACGCTGATCAAGTTTGCTGATCATGACATGTCGCTTGCTGATAACGCACTGGTCACTTTCCTCCAGTACAACGGCACGGCAGGTCCTGACATCACGATCACGGCCATCTATGTCAACACTGCTGGGCACAATGGTGTCGAAACGGCGTTTGACAATGTCCGGGACATTCCGTCTATTCGCAATGTTTCTGTAAAGCAGTCTGTGGCCAAGACTGCCGCAGGGTCGAAAGTCCAAGGCGGACAATTGTAAGTCTGGCTGATATCTGAACCCTTCGGTCAGACTGATCTTTATCTCTTAGGAGTGCTGCGGCGACTCTGTTGTTCCAAAATGATCCAGAGATTCTTCAATACTCCACCAAGCTCCACGAAGACTTCGTCAAGTCCCTTCAGAGTTCCATCGGCCCGGAAGCCTTCGGAACCATGATCTTTCTACAGCCTGTCGGAATGGACCATGGAAATATCGCAAAACAACGCGGCGGTAATATGCTTGGTCTTGAAAGATTGAAGTCAAATGCCATCATGTGGACGGGTGGTGTGTATGTGTTGACGAACGACGCAGACTTTGCGGTGGCGGAGGCTTGTTTGACTTCGATGTCGGACAAGATACAGAGATTTGCGAAGTCTGTCGGGGGCGACATGGACCTGGCCTACCTCAACTATGCCAGTCCTCGACAGGATGCTATCGCAGGATACGGCCCACAAAATGTTGAATTCATACGGGAAGTTGCTGCCAAATACGACCCGAGTGGCGCGTTTCAGACAAGAGTTCCTGGGGGCTTCAAGATTGGGAGATCTGGATAAGAGGATGAATCGAAAACGACCATACGTTAGGAAGTGGCGCGTTTGTAGATAGGGTCTCTGAAGAGGAAGGACTGTGGAACTGAACTTGGAAACCAAGGCATGACATCTACGAAACGAAGCCCTAATGATCTCTCAAAATTTGGTGAACAAAAGTTTCTATGGGGTACAGCCTACAGAACTGGGACTTCTTATTTACATGTAGACTATACATACAAATTTGAGACCACTGAATCGTTCCGGCCGGGGTGAAACGACATAAGCTACTGAAATCGTCTCGTTGGGAATGATGGGTTGCCGGTGTGATTGGTCGGGAAGAATTTATGATGCAATAGGCTGCTCAATGTCCCTCACACGCCATCGTGCTGGTATTTTACCTGCGGAGTGTAGTCATTAACGATGCCAAAGATGAACTCTTCGTAATGACCGCGACCCTCGAAAAGTTTTTGTCCAATGATACTGCCTTTGACAAGACCGTTAGCGCGTTGGTAGGCGCCCTTCTCATCTCTGACGATGAACTGGGTAGTGACATCGACCTCCATTACGTCGCCATTTGTGAGGTTGTACTTGACAGATAGGCCTTCGGTCTCAAGCAGTGCAGTGATAGGAGGCCAAGCTGCCTTTCCGCCCCTCTGTCGAACCTCCATGCTTACCATGTCGCAGCTGACGAGGAGAACCTCTCCATCCTTTGCAACATAGGAACGTCTGCTCTCATTGCCATCATAGTCGAGAAGGTTGTACCAGACGATAGAGTAAGGACCAAAGCAAGCGTGTCCCCAATCCCAGTAACGAGGACCATCAATGACGGACTGATTGCCCCAGTTTTTCTCGTGGTAACCAATACCGTCTTCGAAAGCGATAAAAGTGTCCTTGACGGCGAGATCGACAACGGTCTCGGCATCGGAGACCGCGTTAGCCCAGTACAGTCCCGGCAAGAGATTCTTGCAGACGCCAACTGCGCCATTCAAGTCGCAAGGGTAATGGGCGGGAGCATTCTGTAATCTTCAATATCAGTCTCTTGAAATTGCACAACAGTGAGGAATAGGATTGGGGAGTCACTCACGGCTTTGAAGGAGATCTTGCCATATATACCCATGCCCTTGGAGTCGACGTTGATCGTGTATTCAACATCAGGCTTGTCCACCGAGGTTCCACTAAGGCTCCCAATGCCTCTCCAGTCTCCAGCAATACCTCGGGACCCGTTGGTGAGATGAACCCCAGCATCGGCCATAGCTTCGAAGTAGAAGTCTGTACCATTGGGGTACACCCCCGAAACCTGGACAGCGAGAGGATGCGGGTACTGCGAAAAATTTCCTGAGTTGAAGAAGACAATATTCAAAGTCTGGTTAGAGAACTTTGAAACAACATCAAAGTACCAAAAGTCGGTAGACTTTTCGGCGGCCGGGGTGATCATCTTGTAACCGTCGAGGTTTCCCACCACCGAGAGATGCTCAACGCTGATAGTCCTATTGTGGTAACGAGAAGGTAGGTCGAGGACCCGAGTAATATTGCTGGTTGCAGCTCCGTAGGTCGAGCTGAGCATAGCAGCTGCCAGAATTAGCCTGCAGAGAGCCATTTCAAAGGCGTCTAGTTCGTTGCTTGAACGAGTGCAGAAAAGAGAAAGAAAGAGTATAATGAAATGAGTGAGCGACTGGTGGCATGCGAGTATCAAGTCAATCCAGGAAAAAGGGGCGCGGTTCAGTATTTAGGTAATTTGACGGGCCTCAGGGCCACGTAAGTTTACAAGCAGATGGCGACTAGTTCCTCTGTAAGGTAGACGATGCATAGTTGATGATATACGAATGCGCGGCGAGTTAAAGCTCAACTTCGGACTGGGGCACTAAACTTGTGCCAGAAACCCCTTGTCGAGTAGCCGAATGTAAGCTTTTTCAAGTTTACACCAGTTCCTGATTCTTGGAAGAGAGTGATATTTTCCCGACATCAAGGACTTGACCTACAAGTCTACTTCTCAATGACGTGGAAATTTCCAATGGCTGTCCTCCAGCAGGCCGTCTAGACGCCCTTTCTTCTTCACGGCGCTCAATATGAAACCATCGAATGATGAGGCGCCGCTTGTGGCTCGTGATACTCGGACCGTGTAGTTAGATTTTCGTGCGTACCACCTTAGCTCCAGTCAGGCTGGACCGGGCTTGCTGGCTACAATGATCATCGAGTGCCCATTAATCATTGCCCCACAACTATATTATAAGGTGGGATGAACCCAGAAATAGGAATTGTTATGAGTACCATCTTACCGGATGTATCAAAAACGGTGGATGTGCGGCAGCGGATGGTGTCATTCAAGTTACGGCATTGCCTTGGTGCCCTTGTACCCATTCCCAATACTCACCAAAAAGGTCCAGGATAATTCATTGAGGGGCCATCAGACGATGATGGATCTTCCTCACTTATTAGAGAAGGCCATAGTAACACTTGCCGCTCAAAAGCAGGGCCTCAATTGTTGCAGCTTCTATGCCTCCGTTTACGATACTAGTAACCTTCATTTCCGAAGGTCCTTCAGTCAGACATCTACATTAAACCAGAAGGCTGGAGCAGAAGCTGGAGCCGTTTCTGCTTAGAATGTTACTCGCTGGTCTCTCCACAAGCTGTTCTCACAAGCAATGCTATACTGTGCTTTTTGAGCTTTCCAGAGGTGTATTTCAAGGATGAGTTCGAAGAGGACGAGCTCTGTTTCTAGTGGTCACGAAACGACTCCGAACTGGAAAGCTATAAAGACCTTAAGATGCCCAACGAGTTGGATGAAACTCCATGAGCAGATACCATTGAATGATACTCCCTATCAAAAAGGCGGTACTTGCAACAAACCCAACAACTGAGCTCTCAAAGATGTAATTGTTCAAGAGCAACACACCGGTCACAATGAAACCGGCGGATGCCACTGCATTCCAAGCCGCCCCTTGCCATTCGCCCGCGAGGATTCTTGGTTTATACCAGTCTGTCTGGACATGTATGACGAGAGTCATATTGGCAATGAAGAATAGGGCTCCTCCAATTACTTGTGGCATGAAGACCAGAGCCTGGGTGAGAAAAAGATCCATCGGGTTGAGAACTCCTGGGAGGCCAGCCACTGCGGCTACGGAGAGGATCAAACCGCCGGAAAGCATCACCAGACCAGCCTGGAAAGGCACAGTCCGTAGAAGACCGACGAAATCGGCTGCAGATGGGATCCAGAGCCATGCTTCAGAGCCAATAAGGGCGGGTCGATAAATGGCCGGGATGTTGTCATCGATGGACTTGGTGCCGCTCTTCTCGAGGGTGCCGCGGTCGGCATTGAAAGCGGCGAAGATGCCGAGAATGCCTCCAGTCAAGAACATGGTGGCTCCGATTGTAATGGTCGCAGGGAGAGCAACGGTTGGGAGAGTATCGAAAGCGAGGCTTGGCTCGAGGGAAGGAAAGAGCCCGAATCCTGCATTGATAACGAAAGATACGCTGCCAACCACAAATAGCATCGTGACAATCCAGTTCATATCTCTGTAAGGAAATATTGTAAACATTCGTTTCAGCTGGGATCGCTGTGAGCCTTCAACCTCGATGGCAGGATCTTCAATCGAATACTCTTTTACGGGAGATGGAAGAGCTGCCTCTCGATCCATGTCGCATCGTACACGATACTCGAGGTAGTTTAGAGTTTGTACAACCCGACGCCTTTCCCCTTCGCCGACTTCGATTCCCCGAGAATGGGCGGCCGCAACAGGATCGAATCGTGAAGGGCCCGGGGGTACTGGGATCAGCACCGATGCGCGAATCATTGAGGCGCGGAGGTTGGCTGAGGCGTTCATGTTTGGGATAGAGTGATTCTTTTTTCCTATTAGAGGTCGAGAATGATGATGAGTCCCTGCGATACCGGCTCGCTCGGGTTGACAAAGGTAGAAAAGAAAGAAAGTCGGGGAACACGCTAGAGAATAAAACAACAAGGCGCGAAATGCAACAGTCGCTATGAAAAGACCACGCGAGAACCAGAGTCGCTCAGTAAGAAGTGGGTGAACAAAAGAACACCAAATGAATAATAGTTAGTTGAGAGGATTGCCATTTTCTACAAGCGATGCAAAGTGCGTCGATATCGACAACAGAGGCCCGTTCCCGTTTACCCACACCACCTTGACCGCCAGCCGGCTCCCGCCGTGATGCTATGGGTGTTTTGATGTGGGCCAAAGTTGCGTTGAAATCATGGTGAACGTTTCGAGAATTTGGATACCTCAATCCTCAGACAAGAGATGATATAATAAGAAATAAGGTTGACACACCCGCTCCCGCGAAGTCAATTCTGCTGCACGGTTGCCCCCTGGACTCGTAACCACAATGCTCCCACCGGGCTCACTAAGCTGCATTGTTGGGTCGGTGATCTACTGCGGAGGCCGCGGCCACGAACTTCCCCCCACTTGTTTCTGCCTTCTCTGAAATGCAGAGTTTCCTCGTTTCAGTACCCTGTACCACCTATGTAGATCAAATCAGCTTGTACCTACCGTTCTTTTCCACTTGTCAGCTTGCTGGTTTCGAGTCTGTCATGCCGCATTGAGTTATACTTCTCTCCTTCAAAACATGAAACTGACAGTCAGAAAACCAGCCTTTGCAATGATAGACACAGAAGCCTGGCCGTTCTCTCGGCGTGAGGCTCATTATCAAAGCTTGATTCAGCTCTACATGTTTAATTCCAATATCTCAAAGGTCACGGCCCAAACCGACGTATTCTGACCGGCTAGAACCAGCTACCTCTTCAACTCCTTGGCCTGGAATCGTCTCGAATTTGCGCACCTGGCACCGCTCGGACAACGTCTCCTTTCTTTGACGCATGGGCTAAGATCGATAAGCCGTCACCAATAACCCGAACAACATCAAATACATGGGAGCCGTTAAATGTCTTGCTCCACAGCGTCAAGGTCAGACTAGACAAGCTGTTGATTTGGACAGCAAGACGCTCGTTCTTGTCCAGCTGGTCACCAAGTTCCGTCTCTTGCACAAGACCGATGACCAATTGGATCAATCTACGCTCGTCCGGCTGAAGGGAATCTGAGCCAGACTCTTGAACAACCTCGGACAAGATTTTCAACCACTTTGTGAGCAAAAAGGCGCACTCCAGGTTAGCGAGAGCATGTTGGATGCTCCAATTCAGGGTCTGGGTGCGCGCAACAAACGCAACGCCAACCCTTACTGGAATACTGAGGGCGTATATACATTGTAGAACGGCCTGGTTCATATGCGGTGACCTATCACCGGCAGTAATGATTTGGCTAGATAATGCCGCGGCTATCCCTGGTGCATCGTCTCGGGCAAGAAGCCGTTGGTCAAGATTGTGGCCAACGTTAAGGCGGATGTAAGCCAAGCGTAGGAGGGCAGTGGAGTTGAAACCCAACGGTCCCTTGGGAGACGAAGGGTCCGTCGTTGATTCGTACGTCGCTTCCCATGATTGTTGCCAAGCACGAAGCGCGGCCTCCATCTTGTTGATGAAGTCCCCACCCAGCGAACTATCACCACCAACAATCGGAAGATGCTCACAGGCGTTGCGGGTCAGTAGAATCTGTTGGAGCAGTCCATTAATGAGCACGTAGTTCCCGAAAGAAGAAAGTGCTGTCACTGTATGGATGCTCCGTCCTGCTAACAGCATATGCATCTTCTCTGGGAAAGGTCTCGGCGGCATATACGTGTCCCTCAGGGCTGACCACTCTTCCGCGTTAGGCGCTTGCCAGCTTGACGCGCACCCAGGTAGGTTGATGGCGACCTCTCGATTTAGGAGGAGTGGTGGCACGTCAAATGCAACGGATTGTAAGTTTAAGAGGGCGAAGGCGGCAAATAGCGTGCGGCGGCGTTCCTCAAGTTTGATACCTTCGGCCCATTGCTGATTGACTGGCGGGGGTTTCTCCAACTCGTGAATCTTCATCTCGCGGGCGAGCATGGCGACTTGACTTGACATGCTTAGGGCGTCACTTGTCAACTCTCGATCGCCCCATGATGCCATCGCCATGAGTATTATCATAGCTTGCAGCAACCGGATGGTTTTGTCTTGAGCATGTAACTCTGACTCTCTCGTGCGTGGACTAGCGCTTGTCGGTGTCGCAGGGGCGCTTGGATCATCATCTATGGTGACGCGGTCATCATGGGTCAGTCGGTCTAGTGTAGGCTGAGTCCTTTGCTTTAAATGCCAAGAGATCAGGTGCCGAGCAGCAGCATAAATCTGATAGCCCGAGGCCGTTTCGAACCGATAGAGAGCACCGACTGCGGCGAGCGACAGGAGAAGCTCAAGACCGATAGCTGGGGCAGAAAATGTAACGCCGTGAATGAACGGCAGATGGACGGCGAAGCCACGAAAGTACCCTTCCAAAAATCTTGAGAGGGCACGATGTGATGGCAGCTTGAAAGAGCTGGGCAGCTCAGAACGAAGCTGCTGGGCTTCGTCGAGAATCTTGCTGTATTCATCAGCCTCAATCTTCCAGGGCCGGAGACAGTGAACCTGTCGGGGCCTCTGAGCCTGATGTGCTAGATTAATATGCAACGGTGTCTGTTCTGGTCTCTCGGGTTCCATTGAAGGTAGTCGTGCCGCAAACTTCGGCAACGATGAAG